CTAATACTAGGTATTGACAATTCAGGCCGCTTTCAGCCCCACGATAGATGTAACTAAATGTGTAATTTCCAAACATTTTGTGTGAATAAATCCCGTAAATTTCATATCGGTGGCAACATTGTATTCCAAACTTGGTATGGATTGTCTTTTTAAGAATATGATTTAGGGAATCCATCGGTTACAAAGATTTGAAGGCTTGGCATGTAAACAAAATGTTTTTAGCGAGGCCACTGAACAGTTTAGTGACAAAGACACCTGTTATCGTGAGCATAACCACAGCTTATTCGGCGAACACACATAACACATGAACTCAAGTTACACTGTTGGTTTATATTCTGCACAGATGCAAATAATTTTTTTTTTGAATAAAAATACCTTTGTGTTATTATAATTTTCTGTCGCCACTTTTTAAAGCAAACACGACTATAATCTCTGAGTGTGTATATCGGTGACTGGAACTCGTATACGTAGAGCTAATGACATATACACGAGTTTTCAAAGATGTAGGGCGACCAGGATATAAAAGCCGTATTTTTGTTCAAAAGAAAATAATCTGGCATTTTCAATGTGACAATTTTGATAATTAGGGTCTCAAACTGTATTGAGTATTGTATAAAGTACATGTGTACGTAAATTTAAATCCATTACTGAGTTATAATATCACAGTAAACAATTAATTAAATTGCACGTCTACTGGTTTCATTCTTGATAAATGTTGTGCATTTGTTTACAGGAGCATACATTTTCCCGGACTACATGTATATCTCGTCTGCAGCCAGTTATATTGCTAAACTGAAAACTGTTACACTGACGCCAAGTTTCGACAAGTCATGTTTACAATTCTGGTATCAAATGGGTAATATCCAAGAATTCTCTTATGAACATCCTAACTATTACCGATTTACTTCTACATTGAATGTATATATCTACGCGTATACAGCAAGCAATATATGGACGCCGAATTTGTTATTAACCCGCCACGGAGACCTTGGATACTACTGGCGATTCGCTCAAATACCGCTCAATACCCCAACCAGCTACAAGATTATGTTCGAAGCAACGGATTTACATAAAACTAATGTGGCTCTTGATGATGTAAAAATATCTGACTCAGCATGTCTTTCTGGTAAGTTGTTAGAAAAATTGTATCTATCTACACAATACGTGTGAATATGGGAAAACAAAATCGCAATTATAAGTTTATATAAGTATTGAATAGAACAATGGTAAATGGCGAATGTTTGAGCGAAACGTGGGCCAGTTACCATATATTTGTATACGGATTCATGTACAACAGCATAGAATAAACCTGCGGTAAAAGTAGAGAAAATATGACTTTTTGTTTTAACTTAAAAGATACTTTTCAATCATATTTTAGAAAGCTTCTTATATAACCTTATGGATTGGACCCGCCATTAAATTGATACTATTGTTTAATATTTTTGAATATACTGTAAATTATCTTATTGATTTCAGAATGTGGATATAATATTACTCTAACACCCGGACAGACTCTTTATCTGACGTCACCTGGATATCCTAGTTTGTATGCAAATAATGACAATTGTCTCTGGTATATATCTACATCGAGTGGTAACAATATGAAGATAATGTTCCAAGACTTCTCAACACGACCAGGGATGGACTATCTGGACATCGGTTTGCACCAGGACCCATTTGATTTGTCTACAAGAGTCATGCATCTTTCCGGGTCCCAATTACCTCGGGATCTTTGGTTGGATTCCAACAAAATATGGATTGATTGGATAACATATTACAAAAACGAGAATATGAGCTATGGGTGGAGAATTTCTGTTATTGAACAAAGTTCTAACTGACGGATATGTGTATCAGAACATAATGGTTTCTGTAAACCGATGTGGAAATCACGTTATTGGATTTCCTTCCTGAAAACAATATATAGCTAGATAGCCCATGAGACCAAGAACTATAGCCAGGAGTGTTTTGAATAAACGTTGTTAAAGAACTAACTAGACTGAATCCCTATAGACCAGATACTAAATAGTACAATATCTAGATTTTGCTTGCCAGTAGGATATCTACAAATCCACGACTTTTATATAAATATATTGGTATGAAATTTAGATGTTACTTCACCTGACTCAATATTCTTACTTAGGCCCGAACTCGTGACTTTTATGTTAAAAGCTCATTATATTTGTGAAATATTTTTTTTATTACAGCAAGTGATTACATATGTTATATTTGTATGTATTAAAATGCACACAACTTGTCATCAATTGAAACAATATGCATGGTTACGTATAGTGATTAGAAACGTTAGTTTACGATTGTTCATGCAGGAAAGTATATTTGAATCATATTAATTGGATTGTAACACATGTGTGAAACAAGCCTTTGATACTGTGCTGAGCCAACTTGCAATTAGACACTCGTTTAGTTTGAGTTACACTCTACCACGTGTATGTGTCTATATCACAAGATGATGACAAGATCCTAAACGCACTCCCCATCTCCTGTAAACATATACACATGTGTTTATTGTTGCATTACCAATGACATTGATGAACAGCTGTTAAGCTAACATTTAATCAGCCCTTGGTGTAACCTTAAAGCAGTTGACACTCCAAGCGGTACAAGACGACACTGCACGCCGTACTGTTATATACAGTCAACGAGAGCTGGAAACACTTCAGACTGTAGGTGTTACTAAGGACCCTCTATCCAATTATAGAACCTACTCTATGAAGGCTCTCTATTCGTGATCCTTGCCTTTGTGTCTCTGTTCGACTACTTGTTGTCTGGTACAGCATTGAGCTCCAGATCTGAACTTGCTACAGAAACTTTACTCAACTGCGCACAGCTACTCTCCTCATCTCCATTGTGTGGGAGAACTACGATGTATACACCGTGGGCTTTCATTACGTGATCATCACGGAAGTTTGACACTGACACTTTATTGCCACTTTTCACTAACCTGATCGGATAAATCTTTCTCTTTATGTGCTAGGATATTAATTGTGATAGGGATATTTAGTATTAAATCTAGTTATTATTATTTTATTTGAATGTTTATTGTGCTTTATTATGTTAGTTTGCCCCCCCCCCCATACAAGTTCCTTCCCGACTCGTTCAGTAAGCGTTTTGAAATCCTAGCCACGACCACCAAACAACGTCTACGTTTGTGTGACATATATGGAGCACAAAGTGTGCTTGAGTCCATTATTGTTATTATTTTGTAGCGTTGTCAATACCAGTGGATTTGCTGCCTCTAAAAAGCGGATTTAATTTAAAGAAAAATCCACAGTGAACAGAATATTTTCAGACACTGGCCCGTGAATCTGAATAATTTAAAATTTTGTTTTGGAAAGTGTTTCCACAATCTCATATGGCAAACTAAGAAAGAAACTAGTTTTAATCCATCAACATTATTGCATTGAACTCATTTGCATTGCGAGTGAATGATGTGTGGTGTGGTGTGGAGTAGCATTGCAGTGATCGTCCGAGCGAACGGCACACCGTGATTGGTATGCCATATCGGTGTCAGCCGCGGCCTCGCACTACGCTACGCTAGATCGCCGCCGTGGTCCAGTTGGATCGACTGTGCGTAGGGGTGCGTATCCCATGTACGTACTTGCATAGTTACCCCATCCCACTAGTGTTTTCAAACCATGAATGTAGATGTTATTGGCAACTGTCCTGTCTGTGTAATAGTGAGGGAGGGAGGGCGGCGATTAAGAATACTTTGAAGCCAAACGAAACTTACATGTGTAACCTGAAAGCACGGGAGGCCACCAAAATAGCGGCAAGCGGCATCAGTCGCGGAATCTAGAACCGAACGCGCTCTAGCGTACAGAACAGACGCCGATGCCCTCACAAAATTGTCAGATTTTTCGATATTTAAATCTGCTGTTATTGGTAATGGACCGTTTTAATTGATGCCGATTTTAGTATTAAATACTTGTTATCTAACAATTTCTCTTCTTTTTCAATAGTTTCGCATTTATTCCTTTTCGAAAACAACATTGTATGCATATCCATGGCACATGGCCTTGATAATCAATAATGGGATACATTATCGCGAATAATCTGCTGCAATGACGTCATAAAATCCACTGGTATTGATAATGCTATAATAAAATTATATATAATCCCACAATATTGCTTGACGAGTGAACACCGCCAGAGAGATGTATCAATGCGAGCCACAGGCGTCGACTGATGTTACTATGGTAGTAGCCACGAATCAATTTTTTTGTTGTTTATTATCCAGATTGTGAAAAGCGGAATATAGTTTGTGACATTTTGGTGTCCGTAAGCAAATTGTCAGATAGTCCACAGAGATAAGGTATTGGGCTGTGTTTGCAATGAACATTAAAATCTACTAACCCGTGGGTTATATAACTCGTTGACATTCAGTATAATAATAGCACGAATTGTACGGCAATAGATTCCTCGATATATGGCATAGGTTCTTAAGAAAATGTCAAATTTCAAAATAGTAAAGAGAACAATATCAAAAATTATTTTGCGCGATTTTACTTCACGAATTATGCTGTCATTAGTATTAATGTGTGACCGGACTGGGAATAATATAATCAGAATATCAATACAATTCATATGGCAACAACATAATACAATGCATTTGCTAGAAAATGTCTCGATTTATATCTAGACGCATATTATGATTGTAGCGCTCACGCTCGAATTTCGCTAATTAAATATATATGAGCAACCGTATGGAAATTAACTACATTGACGCGATTGTATCTAGTTAATAACTGAGGCAACTAAAAAAGTAAAACAAATATGTAAAATATCTTAATTTATTTTGGTTGTAAAAAAGGTTCTGGTTACTCTTAGTTAATTTCAGGGTGATCGCTCGTGTATAACATGAAATATGCTTATTCAAAATTATACTCGCATCTGAAAGTTCATTAACCTAAACATAACCTGCCTGCGCTGCAAATATGACCTCCAGACACCATCTGTTCAACAACTTCATTCACGGTAGCAATATGGCCAGTCACCATGCGTTCCTTATAGCTACTGTAACGCTATTCGGTATACTAAATACTTTCCGCGTTGCGGCCAAGGTTTTGAACCAATCGCCTGCCAAAGAATCCAGCAACAGATGCATTTATAAATTTGTGGTTCCAGCAAGCCAGTCGCCGATGGAATCGTGCGTACAGACAGAGGAGCTAGCTGAAAAACTCGAACGACTAGCAGATGATGTGTATGAATTGAAACGGATGCTTATATCACCGCCAAGCAGCAGTAACCTGAATGATGGCTCAAGACTATTAGGTTGATTTTTTTAGTGTATAAGTGCCTTGCGTTTTAACATTTTACATAAATTCATTTGGTAACTCCATACTCATTTGAAAATTTCATTATGTTTCAATCGTATTAACTACACGAATCATATTACTCGGTATCAAAGGCTTAAACCGAAACTGCATTTTGATTTGATTTGATTGATTAATATTATCTTCAGTTGGCGATATTCTTCGTGGTAAGGTGTTAGTTAGTGTTGATTTTGTTAAAAAAAAATATCTCAAAAAATAACATAGTATATCTCCGGGCAACGTATAACGAGCTGACTTCGCAGATGCCATGACATGATAACAGTTCATTTTAGTGATTCAGTTTATTTTACATTGTATTCTGTTCTGTTATTTACTCGGTTTAATTTTCATTTAATTCTTACAGATTGTCAAGATGTATACAGCGCGGGACTGCGGAGCAATGGGGTTTATGACATCTGGCCATTAACGGCGCCCTACCCAATTAGTGCATACTGCCAGTTTTCTCGAGGCACAGGATGGGTGGTTTTCCAACGACGTTCGGATGGGTCTATCGATTTCTTTCGAGATTGGATTGATTACAAGGATGGCTTCGGGGACCTCTCTGGAGAACACTGGCTGGGAAACGATAATCTTCATTACATAACCCAAGGTAACGGGAGACTCTACGAAATGCGTATAGAATTAACAGACTGGGGAAAAGGGAAAGCGTCTGCGCTGTACAGCGGCGTTCAGGTCGGTGGAGCTACACAGAAGTACGAACTAACATTGGGGGCATTCATGGGTGGGACTGCTGGGGATTCCATGTTGCATGTCAGTTCAATAGCCATAGCACACGGCCAGTCTTTCACTTGCAGAGATTTAGATCATGACCAAGCCCCTGACTCGAATTGCGCCAATGATTATGAAGGAGCTTGGTGGTACAATAATTGTTTTAAAGCAAATCTCAACGGAAAGTATTACAATGCAAACGAGAAGCATCCCAAATGGCATGGCATACTGTGGACCTCCTGGCTCGGGGCAGAATATTCCCTTAAAGAAACTGTTATGAAACTTAGGCCGTTAGAGATTTAGTTTGAAGTCGCAATAACATCGATCGTTCTTGTTTCACCATTGACTATCAAGGCAATATTTTTTGGTGTAAAAAAATGGTGAGGTGCCTAATCACGCAAGTGATTATTTGAATGCAAAAAATTATACAGCTGTTATTAAACTAACATTTATTTGCATATTGAAGACTACGCATCAATGCTATTTGAACTTTTATTTATAATACTATACTATATTACAGATTGGGAATGTTTTATGACTGTATTACACACCCAGCTGAAACAAGAAAACGTATATACGAAAAAAAGGCCCAACACGTTTTACTAACAATATTTTGGAATAGACATATTTCAGCTTTGTGTATTTGTTTTGCTTGCCTGTTTTGTTTGCGTTCATGAATTATATACGTTCGATCGTTTTTTATGATATGTACTATGTATGTTGTAGGATATACTGTGTGTGTATGTTGTCATTGCAGCGAATATCATTCATTTGTTATGTCGTATCTTATGCACATCCGAGCGACAATAATCATCTAATATAGTGAATAAAACAGTAATGTTGTTCATTATTGTGAAAAAAATGTCCATTTCTTTGAGCTTCACATTTCAAAGAATTTGGGTATCAATTACAAATATCAATTCATTATTTGACTATATGTCTTGTATGCATGTGCGCCCTCGTCGGCGTCATTTGTATATACCAGACATTTGTTCCCCCTTACAGTCATTGGTGGCGCATGCATCTGTTCACAGGAATATGCTCAAAGTCGGAATAGTAACTGTCGTTAACACTTAATTGGCGAATTGAGTGATCTGCCGCTTTTCTGAACCTAACTATTATATAAATATTAATGTATATATGGCAATACCGTGTATATAAGTATTATATAATACATTCGACGTAAACCGGTTTGGTAACATTGCGTTCATGACGCTTTTTAGCGCACCTGGCCATTAGCAGTAATTTAATGTAGAAATGGTCGACGATTTCTACTGTTTTGATACGGGGGTACCATGTCATTACTGATTTTGACTTGGTTTGTACCGACTTGGCAATGTAATACAATGGAAACCGCTGCCTCTATGTGAAATCGTTACTGTAAACCTCTTTATCACTATCGCTATGCCGAAAGAACATCGGTAGAAAACTATGGCGACAGATTGTATCTAAATAAACCCTTTTCAATCCACTATTTATCAAATGGATATACAGCGTTTCGAGCGACGTTGACCAACAACCTATTCGTACCGAGTGAGTGATAACCAGCCGCGGTTTGAAGGTGATAATTTACAGGCAAATTATTGTAATAACGGTACGTTGTTAATGCTGTAAATTCACGAAGTCTTCTAATTGGTCGAGAATTTCCATAACGACTGTTAGAAATTAATAAACGAATATGAGTTTTATTCAAGAAATGTCGGAATTTAGGTTCGAGTGACATCCACATATAACCGGACCTACGTATTACAGTGTAACATAAATCACGTAAATAAATTTGTTTTAAATGAAAAGGCAACGGAACAGTATCCTGTGTAAATATGAACGCTGTGCTCCCATCATTTTTCAATACAGCACACCGTTTTTCGAATCGAATGAAATTGGACGGCCTGATTGGTATGGAGTGGCGGCGGAAGTGCTCTAATATTGGCGTGCGTTTTGAATATAAAAGAATAGTTCCATATTTAAAAAAAAAATATTTTTATTTCGGTATTTAGTAATAATGTTTGACCTCTTATTTCTAAAGTGTGTTGTGCCAATACAAACAAAATAAATCAATGAATAATCAGACATTTCGTAACTTTCATCATTAGTTAATCATTACATCTCATTACATTTATTAATTTCTATGGTTATATTAATTGACAGTCATACAATGTTTTATATTATTGGAAAATTGCAATGTGATCCAAAACTACCATGTTAATTACCATATCATTTACATAAGAGCGTGCATTTTATCGCAGTAAATCTCAAAAAAAGAAACTGGAGCCTTTCTTGTATATATTAAAGCTGAAAGCATGATAAGGAAATTCTGACTGATTTATAATCTACTCTATTTGTGCTTTTTTGATTTACATGCACTTAATAGAGCATATACAGAAATAGGTCATCTAGCAGTGTCAATTGTAGTAAATTAAAGCAAGTTATGGTCATATTGAGTATATTTTACACAGTGCACAAATCAGCATATTAGTATTTTTCTGTACCATATTTGCAGTGCATGTTGTTTTGTATTTTCCCCTCATAATGGTCTTTAATTAATATTGTTGCTTATTAGAAATAAAAGTACACATACAAGTGTAATGGATTCGTTAAAACAGTGGCAACTACCTTTTTGCAAGAAAATGTAGCGCCCTCATTGTTCAAAGTAATTTCAATCAGATATTATTGTCCGAAGTAAATTTTGACTAAAAGGAAGAAGACCATTGAACCCAGGATATCAACAATCCCACTACTTGTGGTGGTATTAAAGCGTCACAAATAAGCACAATTTGGTGCTAACAAATATAACAATGAATGACCGTAACAATACCACGACGTGTGATAGGGGTCATACAATTGAACATAATCTCTCTAGAGTCGCAACTCTCTATATATACCGAGAGTTATTTGGGAACCAGAATTGTAATTGCAAATTACAGAGTATGACATGGTAGGAGTGTGTACACATTTTTTGCTGAGCAGTCACTGGGCTGGCGTGGCCTGTGTATATATCTGGTAGCGTCGCTTATGCTTACAAACACAACGTTTAGCACCATCAATGAGGTTTGATTGACAAACCTCATTGACGGTGCTGAACGTCACTGAAACGTAAATTGCAAATGACCTTACTGTGACGATGCATTGATTGTGGAATACGAAAAAGGGGACTGAAGCATGCGCACTGCGTACACAATATGCTAATTACCTTTAACGAGATTATGACGTAGACATAACTCATGAGTATTATTGTTGAAAGTGCAATTAATAATAGAAACGCCAGAATCACGTATATTGTGGTAATTTGAAGACTGTACACGCTTTCCATCATACTAGACTGGTCACCAAATTTAACAACTGTTTCTGGCCTTTACACTCAAGTCTGAATGAGCTTAAGCAAGCCTCAATGGGTTTCGATTGTATGCAGCGTCATCGGTGGCTGTTCCCGATTCCATGCATCCAGGCACTCCAGAGCAACACCTACATTGAACTTGTGCTATATGAGCATACTATCTCATACACACAGAGTAATTGAAAATTATGTCTAGGTCACGGCCAGAGGCCATGTTTTTAATTCTTCATTCTCAACACACTTAAACTGTCTATAGTAAAAGCACACAGCACCACTTCAAATAAATAATGCTACAATACATCAATATTCATACGCTCTTATTCTGAATGGACACTAAAAATAAATAAGTACGTCTGAAAAAAGAGCGCACAAAGATTCAGACAATTTCCAATGAGCAATTTTGTTCAAATACTTAATTTCTACACATAAGCATCAGTTATCAATTCTACTTTTCTCTCAACCCTGTGGAATGTACTCATTGCAGAGTCTTATTAATTCGATATTTCATGCATATCAGAAATTGCAATCAGATAATTTTATACAAAAATATGTTTGGATATTTAAAGAAGTAACCAATTCTCACTTCCGGTTCGGTTAGTCATAAAATATACCACAAATATTTCATTTTTATATATAATACTTGGTATGTGTTGGTTCTTGGATATTTCAGCTTCGTCGTCCTCTATTTCGTTTAGTAATTCGGACTCCCCAGATTGCGTAAAAACGAATAGTTTCGCGATTTTGACATGGAAAATGCTTGGGCTAAATTTTCTGAGGGACGGCCGCTTAGATATATGCGCTCTAACTTACAGCACATGAACCTAAAATTGTTAGGCAATCCAAAAAAATGGCATTGTACTAAAGTACATAAAGTACGTTTAAGGGCTTCACTTTTTCATAGCATAAACACTGTTTTCACCATCGCTTATTATGACACTTTATTTTTTGACACAAGTGCAAACACTGGTTTAGTCCCGTACTTTATGCTATGATTTGAAACGTGTTTATTTGCCTTCAATTACGTTTTGGTGGTCGTTACTGCCGTCCCTGAAATCGTGTCGATAATAACGTTTTGGTCTCAATTTACGTACTATCACCAAGGAAATTAAAAAAAAAACTTTCTTTTTTTCAACTAACATGGCGGAAACAATTAGCATAACAATTTTTTGACCGTTCTCGCCATGTTTAATTCAAATCTTTGTTCCAAGGGCGCCTCTGATGAAGGAGTCTAACCGCTGGGCTGAATTAAAGACATAACCAAAAAAATCATAGAAGACTAGGCGAAAATCGGTTGTTTTTCACCACGACCTTTTTCACTTAGAAACAATAAGACTAGATTTCCAAGGACGCAGGTCATTTGGATCGGACGGGTTCTTTGTTCGTTGCGTGCATAGAAAAATAGCACTGCTGTTTTTGGTGAATATAGAACGTGTTCTATTCATGGATTTTTATATGCCAATTCAATTACCAATTCCTTACTGGAACATCTCCTGTATAGATAGTCCTTCACTCAGAATTAACTTCGTGTAAGCGCGTCTGCTATTTTGGAAATGTTTACGTCACTGTACAAAATACACTTGAGCGTTTTAAGGATACCGAGAATAGACGAAAATAGATGGTAATACCATTTATATCACTCATGAATATTGAATATTCGATTACTGTACGGGATAGCTGTATTTAGTGTTCATTTCGATGTAATCTGCCCACATCCACCGTTTTCAATTTCTATGAGATTGTTGTGACTCTGTGGCTAATTGACACGGGAAACTGACTTTTAGCTTTAATATTTAATATTCTGACGTTTTTCTTGTCGTATTTTGTATGTACCACTGACAAGTAATTAAATAGGTAAACGGTCTGACACATAGCCGAATCTGAATAACAGGTAAGACACGAAGATGGCATCATCATACAGCATTAATGAACGAGATTCACATTACAATCTTACGTTTCAGAATAATCCGATATTTATGCTGGAGCACACAGTGTAGCAAAGGATTCTACGGACCCTGTGTTATACATGAAAATGTAACTACAAAATAAATGTCAGTGAATAACATATTTAAAAATAAAATAAAACTGTAGCCCCATGGACAAGTTGACAATTGCTAAACCGCTAAATAATGGTGATTTTTAAATCTCGTTTATTTGTTTGTTTTTGACGTAATTTCAACTGATAAACTGGCGGTAAGTAATCACAATTTAACAAAAATAACAGTAGTTTTCAAAGTTATGCCCTAAGTGGCAATATCGCCCTTTCGAAAATAAGATTTTGAAATTAACGGCGAATATGAAGATCTTGTATTTAATTCGAGACTGTCTTATTGACGTGCTAGGGGATGCTGTCAGTAATTTGCACATCGAGTCGGCGGCCACGTGCCCGACGAAAATAATAGATTAAAAGCAAGTGAGATTTA